GGCAGCGGCAGCGGCAGCGGAGCAGCAGCAGCAGCAGCCGCGGCGGCGGCAGCAGCAGCAGCAGCAGCAACCACAGCAACCACAGCAACAGAAACCACAGCAACAGAAACCACAACAACGGCAAGAACAGCAATTAGCTTGGACAGCAAGCATTCATATTAACAAAGCTTTGCTAGCGAAAAATCAGGCTTCCTGCCATCGCTTGACACGAGTGATGGAAGCTTTGACAGGGGGATGATCGAGATCGTGCTTGGTACAGACATGACCAAGCACAACCAGCACCAAAAGAGTCTCACAAGCCGTTTGGCGGATCGGGCCTCAGAGTTAGTGCAGTCGTTGGTGTGCTCCCTGTGCTTTCGTTGAGGCACGAGACAATCAGGAGGCCAGCCTTGCGTTTTCCCCCGCATTTACCGCTGTGACGAACGAGATGGTTGTGGAACATGTAGCTGCAATTGTTGAGGCTTCACTGGGTGACAAGCTGGAGTTCATAGAGGCAGTAGCCCATGCCGCCGACATCTCCAACCCCTGCAAGCCCCGCGCTCGGACATGTGTATGGACGATATCGCGGCGCGCGAAGCGAAAAGCGACTCCTCGTGCAAGGCCCCGGAAAATGATGCTGCACTGGACTCAAAGGGTCACAGCCTCATTCCGTTCAGCCTCTGACATGGAACCCAGAGCAGTGGGTTTGGAGGAACCTGTTTTTGAGGAGCCAGACAGTTTCCCTGTGGGCAATCCTTACTCGGTTCTGGATTTGTGGACTTGGAGCGCGGGGCCTCGCCTCCTCACCACCAACCCAACCCAAGTGAGGTGTGTGTGTGTGTATCAAATTGGGGTGGCATTTTCCCATTCGTTTCCCTAAACCAGCCGACCAAACGGAGACCAACTCCAAAAACACTCAGTAATCCGGGTACTCCGTGCGTCGCCTGTGCTGGAGAATTTTCACTGTGCCAGGTGGTAGAGGAATTCTGGGCGCAAGGCGACGAGGAAAAGCTTCTGAATGTGGAGGCCTGGGGCATGGCACATGAACAACAGCTAGGTCCCGGTAGTGCCCTTTTACCCTTTTTTGGGGGAGGATTCCCTACTAAGATAGACTACAGGAAAAAAGGGGCCTTTTTTTAACCTCTCTACTGGAGGACCTAGACAGTCAATTTTTGCTTGATGGTAACGAAATCCATTCCGCACCACCGTTCAGAAACCCTGGCATGAGGCCTCCCCTGTAAATACCAAGAAACAATGGGTTATGGCGTTAACCATTGCTCCAAAGTGGTGCAGGATTTCGTCCATCCAAAGTATGATGTAGGGGCACTCACCAAGCATGGTCTTGAGAAAAGGAATCGTTATTACTTTCTGCTGTGCCACGTATTCTTGCTTCACTGCCAGATGCCAGGTCAGTCCGATGTGTGATCGAACAGTTGGCGAAGACTCTATTCCAAAGCAGCAGATAGGCCCAGCTGGTTTCGAGAACCGAATCGAAGTCACCAGAAGCCGAGCGACTCAACTCAGCCGACTGTTGAGGCTTCATCGACTTCGTGATTGCCCCCTTTTACAAGCCCTTGGCCGAATTGCTGCCAGAGGCGCAAAAGACGACTTGGGTTTGGGTCAAAAAAAGTAGTCACCGGAGGAGCCTGCAGGTGTGAGCCCAGGGCAACCCATTAATACCAGGGCAAGCCATTTTGGCATGGGCCCGATTTTTTGGACCAACCAGCCCATTTCTGCCCTGCTTGCAGAAAGTTTTTCGCCAGTTTTTTGCGGCAGGTCCAGGAGGCCACCGACAACATGACCCAAAATCGCGCCTTCTGGTCTCAGAAAGAAGCTGAAGAGGCAGTTGTGTGTGTGTGTGTGTGGTTGTGTGTGTGTGTGTTTGTTTTTGTTACATACTGTATGTATGTGAGTTAGCAGCAAAAGTACCGTCATGTACTTTATATGGGGGTGTTTCATGCACGTATTGTGTTTTCGTTTTTGCTCGAAAAACGATACGGGACATCCCAAAAAACGATACCCCTTCAGCAAGTTGGCATTGGTTGCAAACAAACATGTCTTGTCAGTTTGTGTGTTCTCCTAGAGCATGTGTTTGTTTGCTTGGTCGAGACTTGCAACTAGGCCCTTCCATTGCAAGGGTTGCAGGGCAGGGGGATCAAAAGGGAACTGCACATTTGGAGCACCAGCTGGATTGTGACAAGACGCGTGTGGCAAAAACAAGGTGTGCTTGAACGGGGCGAATGTTTCTAGCATGTGTCCACCACATTGCAGGGGTAACTGCCGGCCAGGAAGAAGCATTACGAGTTGTAGTTGGGCAAAAGTCTTTCTTCTAGCGTTTTCGTTTTTGAAGGGGATGTAACTGTAGTTCTCCGTTCAGTCAAGGAAGTTTAGAAGGGGTGTAACTGCAGTTCTCCGTTTGGTCAAGGAAGCTTGCGCAATACTGGAACTAATTGAGCGAGCTCTTTTGAAGAATGCGTGCGTCTGCGCGTGATCTTTAAGACTAGATGCTCTGCGCGTGAAAAAGCTACGAAAAAAGCTGGAAAGCGCAAGAGCTGGGGGATGGAGCAACCATAGGCGGAAACCAAGACGGCTGCTATGTATTCTGAGGATGTCCCGCTGTCTTGCCCTCTTGCTGTTTGGGAGGTCACCTTTCTTCGGCCGCAAGCAAACTGCAGGACTGCATTTTACACGCTCCAGCGCTTCTCTGAAGCTCCTTAGAGCGGAAGTAAGACAGTTGTCAAACAGCGCCGCTTTCCAGAAAAAAACTGGCCACGAAAACGATACCCCAAAACGATACCCCGACGATACCCCCGCAACGGGCCAGGAGGCTAAATGTAGGGGGTGGCCCATTTGACACCCAAACGCTACCCCTGCAGTTACGAGGAGACACACATCTGGGGGTGGCTTGGGAAAGAACGGCAATGCTGGAGCAATGCCAGGACTTGCGGCCGTGCAGCCGGAAGCAGCGGTATTGAGCTGAAAAAGGAAGAATCACGATGGGTTGAGGAGTGCGTGTGGAAGGAGAAGTGGGAAGCTTTGACCCAGGAGGGGCAGCGTGCTCGCATAAAGGCGGAGCCGAAGAGCGCGGAAACGCCGCAAGCAATTGCCAATGTGATTGCGAAGAGTCCCGCAAGAAGGTGAAGAAGACCACCACGGTGACGAAGCCGGCCTCTCGGCTCCAGCGCCGTGGGGGCGTGACAAGCATCTTTGGACGCCGCCTCGTCCTTTCTCCTCAAGCGGCTGCGCGTGTGCCCTGGGTTTGAAGCGAACAACCCCAGCTCCAGCAGCCAAGCGGGTGAGGGACTACATTGACGCAACAGTGCGTGAGTTTGCTGGCACGCGTGAAACTGCCTCGAGACTGGGATTTAGGATGGGGCGGACTCACTGGACAGGCAGGACTTGAGGGAGGCAACAATGAGAGAAAGCGTGGCAGACCCAGCAAGCAAGGGAGCGCTGATGGCGCAACAGCTGTTGGAGGAGGACTCTGTGTCAAGCGCAAGTTCCTCCTCCTCGAGCTTCAACTCAAGCTCTGAGGGAGACTAAAAGGAATCTGCGGGATTTGCTTTGCTTGCAGGGATTGCTCTTTGGCCGCCGTGTGGTTTGACACCGCGGAACGCCCGCTTGTGAGAGCTTCCATTCCGTTGCTGTTACGTTGGCGCTACCCCCACAAAGAACCGTTTGGTAGCAAGCGAGAGGCAGGGATGTGTCCCGTAGCCACGGCCTGCAAAACGATACGGGACGTCCTCTTGTTGCAAAACCTGTAAAACGATACGGGACGTCCTAACACCGAATGAATACACCCCCAGACAAGTAGTTTTGACGCTGTCTCATGTATATATATATATATATATCTATATCGCAAGTCGTTTTTCCATGTGTTTTTAGTTCAACTCGGCCGGATCAAGAACAGCATCACATGACGCTCCAGGCAACTTTTGCCGACCTCTTCGAGAGTTGAAACTTGGCTGTGGCACGCCTCTGAAAGCACGGCCAGCAGCACGCCTTGCTTTCACCTGGAACAACTTTCTGCCATTCAACGCAGCTTTCGCTGCAAATTGATTTGGCTGTGGGTCAAAACCAATGGTACCATTTTGGGGTTTTCGGTGCACCACCCATTTTAGTCTATTTTGGTGGGGATTGGGATGTTCACTGGGGGTACGGGCTTTTGACCCATGGCCATTTGTGAATGTTCAAGTTTGTTCCAGCCTGTGACTGGCGATAAGACCGCTATGTGTACATAGCCGCCGGCCGCCGCCGTGACTACATTACGTGAGCACCCAGCAACACCTGCCTCCTGTCAAGCAACCTTGTCAACTTATCGTGACTGCTTTCATCGCATACCGTGTATCGGGACACCAGAATTCGCGATGCGAGACATTCTCAAGATGTTCGAGCCGTATAGAAATGCAGCAAAGCCCTCAGGAACGATGGGGACGACAAACAAGGACCAGGCAATGTTCTTCGGGGCCAGTGCAGGAGGTTTTGCCGGTTGCTTCTATGGCGGGCTTCGCGCCTACAAACATGCCATTTCCAAAGCATGCCTAGCCATGAGTTCTCGTTATGACCCTGTCTCTCAACTCTTCAAGAGTTCAGAGGAGTGGGCAGGAATCCTTAAACGGTGCAGTGCGAAATTTCGGCGCGGGTTGTACTCGGGTCTCGGGTGCGCTCGGCAATCGGATCTGGGGTCAACAGGAATCAGACTGGCACACGCACACCCATGTCCGTGTGTGCTTGTCGTCAAAATAGGAAGAGCTCTGCATTTAAAAAAAAAAAAAAAAAAAAAAAAAAAAAAAAAAAACACAAAAAAAATCCCTTCAAGCACCCCAACTAAATTACCCTCCACAAACAACCCTCCACCGTCCTTTACGGCTATTTGGTTGGATCTTCGGACTTTATTTTTTTTCCGGGAAAAATTGGCCGGACAGTGGGTTTTCCGAATTGGACCCGCCAGAAGCCGTGGAGACGTTTTGCAGAGGGCTGCTTCCAGCACCTGCCGCGCCGGAGCGAGTCCCGAGCGGCAGGCGCCGAGGGCGCCGGAGGCTCTGAGTTTCCCCTGTCCCCTGTGCCTGGAGAAGGCTGGGGGGGGGGGGGCGGGCAGGGGGGGGCGGTGGGGTTGTGCCCCTCTTGAACCCGGCCGTCAAAAGAAGAGAGGCCTCAAAAAGCAGAGAGTACCCCGTAGGTTGGCTAGGGCAACCTGGACATTCCATTTTGGGTATTGAGTGTCTCATGGACCTGTGACTTAGGTGAATACAGATGGATCCATCCAGCTGGATTGCGACCACCGTCTTTGCGGCTCCCTGAAACTGCGAGCACCCGTCGAAATGCTCGGGCTCGGATTTGTTTCGTGGGGTCGGATCTTTCGACTCAGGCGCGGACTGCTTTCTGAATTACATCTCGGCGAAGATCAAAGAGGGCCAGGCGGCGGCCGTGTTGTCCACGACGTTGCTCGAGATTGGCTGGAAGTGGAAAACATGTTCTTAGCGCGCCCCAAACCCTCTTTTGGGGAGTGTTGTTGCCAGCAACTTTCAGCTGGTCACAGTTTTCCTCATGGCAGGGATGCTTGAGTCTGTTTTGTGCAGCTTATGATACGGATGTCCATGCAAATCTGAAGGTCAGGCGAACAAACAGGATAGGGGTGGACGAACTTCAACACAACTTACTCACAATGCCGCTCCTTCGCAGACTTGAACACACCATTTGGAACACCAGTTGAGATATATAAAAAATATATACATACCACTGTTCAATTGGGACGAGAACCTTAAGCCATCTAAGGTGAAAGGGCGAGAACCTTAGCTAAGCCATCTAAGGTGAACAAAGCGGGTTTCAGGTTCAAAAGCAAGCAATTGCTTGCGAAGCTCATTGGCATGGCAGGTGGCAGCTGACGAGCTGGTGTGCCCACTTCCTGAGTGCACTGCTGAAATTACCGTGGTGCAGATCTCAGCGACTTTTGGTCAGTTCTTGGCACCAGGCTTGGATTGTTTGATTACCCCAAGGCCCCAAGGTAGACTTAAATCAAGGTGGGTTATGGCGCATCAGCCAGCCCTGGGTTTCAGTCTACCGCAGGGAAATCTGCCTGGCGCATCCTTGTGGGTGAGTGGGTGAGTGCGTCGATGGATTCCAGTGCTTCAAGTTTGGCTTGAGGCTCACTTTCCCACCCGAAAATCCATCGACTCAAGGACCTAAGGACACCACAGACACCCGCTGACTGGCACCAGTTGGGATTGCTGGTTTAACCAGTATTCAAATTTCGGGCTTCCATCCAACTGGTGCCGATCGGCGCGGATTTCGTCCATCAGGGTTTTCCTTTTTTTTCTTCTCGGAAACAGACCCTTTTTTGTGAGAAGATTTGAAAGGGACACCGGCTGAAAGAACCGCTGAGAGACACCAGATGTCCACACCTTTTGTCTCCAAAAACGGCAACCCCCCTAAAATTGGGGGGGGGGGCTTTTCATGTATCCCTACCCCAAACAAGGGGTCTATCCCAGCCCTAAAATTGGTTGGCCGTTTGGTATCAAACAAAGATTTGGTCGCTGAGGCCCAGGTGGAAGGCGCTTTTCCGGACTCGCAACTCTTGGAGAAGTTCCTTCAGGCCATGCTGAGGGTCCCAACCACCATGTGGGCCACATTTTACCATTTTTTTGGGCTGGTGGTTTAGTGGTTGAAATCCAAATCCACTGAACTGCGAACAGTTTTTTAAGTTTTGCTCCCCTTACCTCAGCCGTCCCATCTTTGGGGGAACCCTCTGCCTGGTGAACATCAAAATAGGTGGCAAATGGATGTTTTTTCACCCCAAAATGGGATCGCCATAGGTTATGGTTCATGGACAAATGAGCCACTTGCTCAAAACCGATTCGGGGATTGATGGAGGTAAGGGAGAATCCCAGCCAGACATGGGGGCCTTCGCCGCCTTGATTCTTTAAATTTGGGTTTGGGTGGGCCATTTTGATACCGATCGGTTTTGCTTATGACTCAACCGGGCGTCGGTTTGAGTCTTGGTTTCCCTTCACCCGACAGGCAAAACAAGCGCCTCAGGCAAAAAAAAAGCACAAAAAACACCCCCGATTGCTTGGAGGCCTCGGGTTTTGGGCTCGTCAGTTTCTTGGCTTCTCTTCGCCTTACCCGTTTCGAATCGGCGCCTCGGTGTGGGCCTGGGGCTCTGAAATGGGGGCCGATCCCTGCGGGAGCCAGTTGCTTTCAAAAGGAGAGGTTCAGATCCCCAAAGAACCAACTCAATCCAACTCGCCCATGTGAGCAGGGCTCCGAAAAAAAAAAAGGATCTCCATGTTGCAACCATTTGAAACATGTGGCTTTTTCAACAAAAAAAAAAACACCATGTACAAGTTGCAATGTTCAGGTGTATAATGCATCCGGATCCCTGTTGAGGGATGGCGTTTCCTCGCTCGCCAACGCGACTGCCAGTTCCGCATGGACTTGTGGGAGTCGGGCGCCGATGGCCGAATGGTGGACTGCCCCACACCCGAGGCTGGAGTTGTGCAGCGTGGCCATGGTCAAAAGACCGGCGCCTTTGCTTGGGGTTAACGGGGATGGTCATGCACCTGGTGGATCCTTAACCATGAGAAGGATTCCTGAGAAGGGAACCATAGGCCATAGGCCATATCAGGAGTCTTGACCATGGCACATGTGACTTGCTTCTTCCAGATCTGGGCTCCGCCGCTTATACTCTGTGTTAAAAGAAACAAACAAACAACACGCGAAAGAGAAGGCGCCTGGTGGTTCCAACAGCAAAAGGTTCCTCCCATTTTCCGATGCCAGTGTGGGAAGTTCCTGGTGGAGCTGGGTGTGGAATCAGTGAGATGTCCCACCTGCTCAAAGGACCGAGCCTTGCGGGGAAAACATGTGTCGCACGTGGTGTCAAAACAGGGGCCTCTGCGTTTTTGTTTTTTTTTTTGGGGGGGGGTTATCGAATGAACCTTGGCATATGAGCATTGGGGAAAGCCGCCCAAAATCAGCTTTTCCTACTAACTGGGAAAGCTGCCCATGGTCATTTGGCCTTCAACGGCATATTGATCAACGCCCAATCGCGGTTCCCCTTGTGCTCCTAAACCGACCTTCAAGTTTGGCTTCCAGGAGTTCTGCGTCCATTGCCGGGAACGGCACCAGGGAGTCTCCTGTGCTGCCAAGTTGAAGACGGCGGATGAGCGCTTTGAGGAGTGCCCCTAGAAATTCGAGATTTGTCAAGCCGGTTTCATTGCCAGTCGAACCAAGTTGAGTTCCGGAGAAAACGGGGGATCACCCATGAAAAGTATGGCCCTTCAAAGAAGCGCTCTGGGACAACCCCATTTTGGGGCAAATGGGTGTGTGATAGTGTGTGTGTGTGTGAGGCGTAGCCACCAAAAAGACAGTTGTCCTTTTGGTGTCCCTTGAATCCAAACTGAAAAGGGAACATCACAAGTACACTCACATGAGCCACAGTCAACACATTACTTGATTCCTCAAGAGGATTTGGGACATCATCCGATTCGGATAACACAACTGGCTGTGGCTCATCTTGAGCCACACCACATGAAGCCCGTTAATTTCAATGCGAGACCCACCTCCCGGTCGACATCATTTACTTCGGGCATTCACGTGAGGGAGGTCTCTCTCAAAATAGGTGTACCCAACAATTGGTGGTTTTCCTTTTTGGTGTCCCTTTCAAAAGACACAAAACAACAGGGTACCCTTAAAAAGAGGGTTTCCTTTTGGTCTTCCTTTACACACAGAAAAAGATGGGGCACCAACCCCAAAAATCGCCACCCCCATTTCCCCAGGAAAAAAAACAAAAAAAACAACAATCGAAGCAACGCACCTCAAGTTCCCTTCAAAACAAAGCCACAAGGTACCAAGAAGCCACAGGGCAACCTCTCCAAACATCGCCGCCCTGTCTCCCTTCAAAACCACTTTAACAAAAACGCATGCAAGAACTCCCTCCAAACAACAAAAACACGGCCACTCCAAGCATAGCCCCGCAATTCATTTTTCCGTCTCCAGCCCCTCGCGAGCCGCGGCTCGCGGCCCCGCGCGGCGCAGGAGTTGATGGCGCAGCAACAATGGCGGAGATGCCCGAGGCGCGACTTCGCCGCGAGCCGCGTCGATTTTTGTTGCTTTGGAGGGGGCCAAAACTGGGTTGGTACCCGCAACATGATGCTTTTCGTTTTTCAACGGGCGCCCTCGGTTTTATGATGGGTTTTGTGTGTTGGTACGTTTTTTTTTGCATGTTTTTTTTTGGAGTTCCTCTTTTTTTGTTCTGTCACTTTTGTTTTCTGGTACCCTCAAATGGGTTGCCCAAGAAGTATATGAGGACAGTGTATGAATAATGGGTTGCCCAAGAAGAATATGCGGACAGTGTATGAATATACTGATATATTGTTCTTTATTTTTGGATAATACCGTCTAATGGGATGTAGTTTTGTTTTTCTTCTTTTTCCCCGGATCCCCCTTGTTTTTTTGCATTTTGGTTTTGGGCCCCCTCAAATCGACCATATTTGCGGGGTGTCGTGGTTTTGTGGCTCGATTCCCGTTTTGGGGTGGGAATGAAAAGGAACACCGAAAAGAAAGCCACCATTTTGGGCCGGGGCTTCCCTATTTGGACACCTGCGCACCCACCCAACAGGTTTAGCCAAGACTTGCAGTCTCTGGTCCAGTTCGGAGCCCCTCAGCACATCTTGAGCGCAAAAGCCTCTCGGCAATTTTCGTTGGTTCTACTTCCTCGTGGAATTGCGGTTATAGTAAAAGCCTACATATACATATAGATGTATATATACATGTATATATATATATATATATATATATATCAGTTTTTGTAATTTTCAAGGGGGACCAAAAGGAAAACCACTAAAAAAGGCACACCCATAATATGGGTGTGGCCCTTTTCAGTGGTTCGCCTTTAAAATTCCAACAAGGGGCACAAACTCCAAGAAAAAGACTAGCCACCCATTAAAAACCTTTGTGCCCTGGTTTTTCTCGGGGTCTTGCTCGTCTTTTTGGTCTTGAGTCGGTCCGGAGATCCGCAGGTGCGAGGCACCTTCGGAGCGGGAGTCCGGATGCAACTTCATGCAGTGCAGGCGGTTTTTTTTCTTCAGTCGTCACAATGGGCTGATGGTTGTCCTTTCGGTTTCCCTCCGACCGCCACCCGTTTTTCACTTGACCGAAACTGCGAGACACATTCGGCACCAAGCAAAATGAGGCCGAATGTGTCTCGCGCTTTCTGTCAATGGGTGAAAAGCGGATGGCGAGGAGGGAAACCGAAAGGACAACCAGCGAATGTGTCTCGCTCTTAATGGGTGAAATGGGCGGTCATCCTATTTTGAAGCATATGGGTGGCTTGTCTTTTTTGTGAGTCGGTACGTCCTTTGCTGGTGTTTTTTTAAACGGAAACAGAGGAACACCACCATTTTGGGGAGTCCCTCCAAAAAGACACCCAAATGGTTTGTTTTTGTGAAACATATGAATGGAGCCCGCGGAGTGGAATATGTGCATGACATTACTGCACTCCAAGGGTGGTGGTGGGCCGTGGGCCATTTTGGCTCCACCACCATACCTTGCTTTTTCCCCCTTTTTCATGCTTGATGGTGGTTTGGGTGCTCCTCGCGTTCGTCCTGAATCATGGCGGCCTTCCCTACGGAGGCCGAGGCGATGCGGATTCGCACGATGACGGACCTGAGGCTTCACTATCAGGTGGACCTCGCGGTCTGGCAGGCAGTGACGGTCGCGATGGGCGATCCGGGCGAGGACATTCGGCCCTTTGCGGCATTGCCGGCTGCGATGGTGGCCTTGGCCTGCGAGTCCGCGGACAATGGAGGTCAGGCCTTGACAGCCATTCAGGCCTCACAGGTGGGGTTGATGTTCCGGCTGGCGAGGAGGATCTACCACGTGAAGAACGGCGGGTCCTGGGATCAGTGGGAAGACCCACACCCTTGGGAAGCGCCGGTCAAGACCAGCGATGGCGGGGACGCGGGCACAGTAGTTCAGAAGAGCCTGGAGCCCAAGATGAAGATGACGCACATCCTGGACCAGGGCGACGAGACGGAGTTCGTAGTAGAGCCGGAGGAAAAGAGGGCGCTGTGGGTGGCGAACTATGTCAAGGTAGTAGGCGGTCTCCCACCCGAAGAAGAGGAACCCTCGATGGAACAGCTCTCAGCTATGAGTCGCAGGACCGAGGTATTGAAAGCAGCTCCCTATGCAGACTTCGCGGTGTGGGTCCCCTACGGCAAGAAGGCACTTCGGACCAGCAGGTTCAGGGTCTACATCCCGACGTTGGAGGGCTTCATGACGCGAGAAGTTGCAGGGCCCGCAACTTTCGAGATGTGGCAGGCGAGTTACCGAGTTTACCGGACCGCCTTGATCATGCTGGAGACGGTCCCCCTGGCCCATCTCAACGCCTACGAAACGCACAGTTGGTAAGGAACTTCCCCGGCTGTTGGCATCTAATTTGCCAAGCAGACGACCGAGGCAGGTCGGAGCACCTCACGAGGTTGAAGCTGAGGGCGACCATGGCTGGAGGAGTTGGCTCAGATGCTCCAGTGGGGTTCGACGCAGAGTGGGCGACGCTGATGAGAGCACTAGTGGACGACGACAGGTACTGGAACGAGCAGGTCATCCTCCCGGGCACCGCTTGGATGGCCCAAGGCAGCCGAGGAGTCCCAGACACCCCGGAGGAGAAAATCTCTCGGCAGGTCACGAAAGAAGTGCGAGGTCGAGAGCTTGCAGGGAGCGAAGGTTCAGACAAGCCCAGCCGTTCTTCCCAGCGAAGAGAGGCCCGGAAGAGGAAGAGGCAATCTTGGGCCGAGGACGTTGGGAAGAATGCGAACGGGAACCACAACTCAGGAAAGGGAAAGGGAGGAAAGGGTTCGGGAAAGAATTCAGGCTCCCAAGGTGTTTTGCTTGGAACAATGGCAATGGACCCCGCGCAGATGTCCCACCTGGGGGAGCGTGCCTTGCCCCAGTGAAGAGGGAACACAAATGTACCACTTGCGGTTCCCCGGGCCACCCCTCGAAGAACTGCCCCAACAAGAAGAGCTGAAGGCTCGAGCGCGGGGCGCCTGGGCCTTGCTGAAGATGGTAGGTTTGCTCTACTCCTCCAAGGCCTGGAGGTTCGAGCTCATCGAAACGATCAGCCACCGAGCACGCAGCGGGGGATGGGGCAGGCTCCACGAAGTCTAGAAGGGTGGTACTCAAGCCAGCAAACCGAATCTTGCCCGAGGATGACGAGAGCACGAAGGTGAAGACGTGAATGAGGACCTCAAGGAACACCTCAAACAAAGAGTTTTTGTGTTCAGGCACCACTTTTCGGGGCCCAAAGATGTGCTAGGTCGCACGGTTAAGGAGGAGGCCCAGGGGTGGGGCATCCAAGTTGAGGTCATGGGCGTAGACTCGAATGTGTCGGAGAACCTCCTAGGTCAGGGCATCCCGGGAGACTTGACCAAGGACAGGCCTTTCGCCGAACACCTGGACTTGGCGAAGGGAGGTCTGATAGATCTCTATCATGCAAGATTCCCTTGCTCCACCTTCTCCCGTTTAAGGTTCCGTCAGGCCCCCCAGTGCGCACTAAGGACCACCCTTACGGAATGCCTAACAACTCCCCAGCGCAACAGGCGGAGTGCGACAAGGGCACGGTGCTAGCTTCCAGGTCGGTAATGATGGCCAGAGCAGTGGAGGACAGCAGGCCGGTGAGACCGGCAGCAACGCTGGAGAACCCCCCGCCATCTGATGTGGATCAGCATTTGTCAGCCTGGGAGTTACCTGAAGTGGCAAGTTGGGCAGCAGCTTTGTTCAACACTTGCATCTATGAACACGTCACCCCTATTGTCCAGCGACACTTCAAACCGCAGAGGTTCACAGGGTCGCTGCCAGGAACCATCGCGCTGGCAGGAACATGCAAATGCGGGAATGCCAGGCACGTGCCCGTCGTAGGGAAGGACAAGTCTAAGGCATCGGCGGAGTACCCGTACGACCTGTGCAGGATGTACGCCGAGCTGGCCATAAGACACTTCAAGAGGATGGCCTTGGCGGAAGTGCTCAGCGCGCGCTTGGAGGTAGCTCAGTCTGAGGTGGAAGAACTCCTTGCCAAGGCAAAGGAGATAGAGAAGACGACCAGGGAGATCGTGGACCTGACCCACATGCCTGAGGATTCAGAACGGCGCCCCAACGCGGAAGGCGAAGCTGGAGGATCAAGGGACCACATCTGGAAGGAGGGCACGGGCAAGTACGGGATGTTGAAACAGCCGGCCAAGAACTTCAAGCCAGAGAGGTTGGATTTCTTGGGGGGCATGAGGGACCCGGCTAGAGCGGTGGAGAAGCTTCCTTCGCTGGTTTCACTCGGCCTAAGGATCATGGGCTCTTGGGAAAGCTTTGTGAAGGAGGATTGCATTCTCGATGAGAAGCTCGCTGACATGTGGAAGGCCAGACTCAACCAGCTGGTGGGGACGAGGCCAGAGGCAGCTGTGAAGCTGAAGAGCAAGGGCGCCTACGTTTCGGAAGCCAATGCGGCGCTGCTGGAAGCTTGGGGCAGGAGAGGCGGAGACCCGCAAACCGAAGTTCCGACTTGGATCAGGGAAGGGGTTCCCTGGGTATCGACAAGCCAATAAGGACATGTATGGTCTTCCCGGCCATGGACCCAGAGAGCCCAGAACCGGGTCTGCCGAACGCCCTAGCACAGCTCACCAAGGGGGACATGCTCAACTACGAGTCAGTGGAGTCGAACAAGGCTGAGGCGGACATCGAGCTGAACCGATACCACGAGAAAGGGTACACCCAAAGAATCCCCCGGTCCAAGGTCATCGAGATGTCTTCAGGTGGCACCATCTCGAGGCTTGCGCTGATCGTGAAAGTGAAGGAAAATCTGGAGGTCAAACGCAGGATAGTGATCGACTTGAGGCGCTCGCGGGGCAATGACAAGTCGGTCCTCCCGGAGAAGCTAGTGCTACCCCGACCTTGCGATGCGGTAGAGATGCTCAAGGATCAGCGACGGCGGCAACCGACTCACCCGGAACAGGACACCGTGGCAAGGGAACTGGTGTTGATCGACGTGTCGGACGCCTTCATGACCCTTCCGGTCCACCCGGATGAGTGGAAACACTGCCTGGCCCCGGACACTAAGGAGGATTCCTTCCTTCTGTTTCAAGCGCTGCTGTTCGGTTTCAGGACCGCGCCGTTGTTGTGGAGCAGGGTGGCAGCAATGGTGGCACGGCTGCTGCAAAGCGCCATACACCAAGCGGAAGGTAGTCACCAGGTGTACCTCGACGACAGCCTCTGGAGCTTCTACGGCATGCTCGCGAGGAGGAACCTTCTGCTGGCCTTCGTGCTCGTGACGATGGCAGCACTGGGGCTGAAGGTCGCATTCAACAAGGGCGAGAGGTCGAATGCGGTGACGTGGGTAGGGATAAGATTTGCCCTGGTGGATGCAGACACCTTGGTGGTTACCCTCCCGCAGAAGTTCATGGAGGAGCTGTTGGGTTTACTGGAAGAGTTGAAGGGCAGGCCCCAGTCAGAGCGCTCAGGGTGATCGCTGGAAAGACTTCGTGGCTGGCGGGAGTCCTACCGCGAGCCAAGTGGACGGTGGCCATCTTCTACGCGGTGATCTACTCCGCGGACGATGACTCCTCCTCCGGCAAGGAGGAGTTACGAAGGCAAGCTCGCGCGGACAGCCGAAAGACGGAGGGGTTGTTCGCAGTGAAGCGAGTGGAGCAGGCGAGACTCTGGCTGGGGGAGGTCATCAAGGTCATCAAGATACCATTAGAACAACCAATCAGGTTAATCAAGATCGGGGGTTCCCCAATGGGCGTGGTGACCATCACGACCGACGCGTCCCCCGAGGGCCTAGGCGCCACACTGGTGGTCAATGGGAAGCTGCTGGAACCGTTGCTGGGCTTCGAATTGGGGACGTCAGCATCACAGGGTGCCCTGGAGAGCCTCGCGCTTCTGGTGGCCATTCGCACCTGGGAAGGGAAGTTGAAGGGTGCGGGAGTGGAGCTTGTGGTGCAGTCAGATAGCACTACGGCACTCAGCCTCACTCAGAGGTTGGCGCACGGATCGGCCGCTCTCAACTTCTTGGGTGCGGAGCTGGCTGTGGAATTGGAAAGACTGGGGCTAGAGAAGGTGAAGCCCCGGCACATTCCAGGGCTGGCAAACAACGTGGCGGACTTCCTCTCGAGGCCCAGCAAGTGGGCCACGGAGAAGCTGCCGGAGGAGTTGGAAGGCATCAACATCAGGCCGGTGGCTGCACCTGGCCTGCGGCAGGACCTGTGGGGCAGCGTGCCTAAGGAAAGCGCCGCTGCAGAACAGTGGCCGCGGAGGATCCGGTTGAGGGCTGTCGGGCCTAGGGTGCCAGGGACCGCCTCACCGTTTTGCCTGGACACCCTGCTGTGGGCGGGCCTAGGGGCCGGCCGTGGCACCGGGCACAGACCCTGACCGCAAGCCGTCTTGCAAAAGGGTGGAGATTTAAGGAAGGAAAGGGAAGGATCAGGTAGGTAAGGAAGGCAGGAGAGGGGACCCTAGGGAAAATCGAGGTGAAGGAGGGTCCCACCCCCCTTTTCTCTGGGGGGACTTTATAAGGTTTTGGCCCGTTTCGAGCAGCGGGGCTCGATGACGGGGTCGGAAGTTGCGGTTTGGGCCCATGAGTCCGTAGATGCCCAGCCATGGATTGATGGGGAGCTGGTCATTCTCTTGCTGCTTGCCGGCATCGGGTTGCTTCGGGTCGTCCAGATGGTCTGGAAGACGGGCAAGGCATGCATACGCTACTGCGCCGGCCAAAGCAGCGAGCCCGCAGTGAAGCACCGGATCACGGTCGAGGGCTCCATGGCGGGGAACTACGGGATGGGAGACAACCCCTCGCGGCTTCGTCAAGCGCCGACTTGGGGGGCGAGGGGAGACGCTCAAAGAAAAGCAAATGCCAAAGCCATCCTGAAGGAGGAAGAGAAGTTCTCCCCGAACCTGGGACGGCTAATTCGGAGGCCGAGACGGATCAGGTAAAAGGAGGAGGAGCACAGCATGAACTTCGGGCACCTCCCCAACAGGCACGAGGTGACGAAGGCACCTTATTTCCTGACGGAGCTCGAGTTGACGAAGGTGCCTCCCAGGGCAGATCAAATGGAGAAGTTAGACCCCTGCACCCATTGATCCCTTCCCCTGAGCAACCTCCTCGTGGCGAAGGTTTGGGGTGGGCGAGCAGTAAGGATAACTGGAGTTTGAGCCCACAAAAAAAAAGAGGGCGCCGGGGCAGTCAAGGGATCCTCGGCGTACATCCCCTCCTGGCGGTCAGGAAGATGATGGAGGAAAGGACAGGGTTCACGGGACTGCCAGCCAGCACAGGGCCCTCGAAAGGCGTTTGGGTGAGGCCAGCTCTCAGCTGGATTGCAGGCAAGCTGAGCCCGAAGAAGTCATCGGAGGAGCCGGGCAACAAGAACCATGAGTTCCCGCCTTTGCCACCTAGAGAATATTAAAGGAGTGCTAGGAAGGACTGCCCGGTCAGGAAGAGTGGCCTCAAGACCGACAGAGAAGCGGCACTGAAGGCCATCAGAGACCCTTGGAAAAGGAAGATGGCCATCAGAGAGCTGGAGAAGGACTTCTGTGCCAACTCTTCTAGAAAGGCAAAGGCAGCAAGGAGGAACACCGTCCGGCACATAGCAGAATCAGCGGGCTTCGCGGTCACACCTCTGGATGCTGACAAGGTGAAGTGTCTAGCGGCAAGCCTGAAGTCAGCCGGCTACAAGTCTGCCCACATTTACCTCGCAGAAGCCAAGCTCATGCATGTCGAGGCGGGGAAGGCGTGGAGTGATTTGCTAGCTAGGGTCATGAGGCAGTGCCTTATGGCGGTGTCGAGAGGCGTGGGTTCCAAACCAAAGGCGCCCGAGGTGCCAAGGGACACCATCCAAGGGGCACAACTCCCCAAGAGGTGGCATGCACAGCGGCGCCTGACGGACCCGATCGAGATCTTCATTTTGGGAATGACCTGGATGTTGAGGGAAGTGGAGATCGCCGCACTCAAGAAGGGCGACTTGCTGGCCAATGACACGGCAAAGAGGGTCACGCTGGTGCTGCACGAGAGCAAGAAGGATCAAGAGGCCAGAGGAGTTAAGCGGGTCCTGCAGTGTCTTTGCCAGGGGGATTGTGGCTGGGACTGCCCTTACAGGAATGCCAAGAAACTGGTGCACTCCGGCCAGGAGGTCATGGAACTTGATGACGCCCTTTGCAAAGTAGGCAGCGGCGACGTAGCAACAAAGGCGCAGGTAGTTGCTTCTTGGGCCAAGGTCTTCGGCATGAGGGTTGGTGGCCATTCTGCGCGACGCACGGGAGCGTTGACCTACATCAGACAGGGTTGGGCGATCCCATAAGTCGCGTACCTGGGCCGCTGGAAATCAAACGTTATCTACAGCTACGCTGAAGAAGCCTTGGAAACCATGCCGGTCAATGATAAGTGCGGCCCGGTTCGACATGGTAGCGAAGGCCCGGGTTGGGATGCAGTAAGGAATCAGTTAGCCCTCGAGGTAGAGGCCCTGAAGCTGGACACGGACGACATGCGAGACAAGCTTGACGCCAAGGTAAGGACATGGAAGGAGAAGGTCGAAGCCGGCTACGGTGAGCTACCATCCTTGGTGAAGAACGTGCATGGCTCCGTGATCCACATCAACGCCAGCATGGTGGCTTGTTCCCCTCCGGCCACGTGGAGGACCAGATGTGGCTGGTATTACGGCTATGCATCTTTCATCTTCATGCAGGGGAGCAAGCACCAGGTGTCATGTTTGAAGTGTAAGAGCGGGAAAGCCGCGCCAGAGCAAGGAGGTGGAGAAGGGCGGCAAAGTTGTTTCTTGACGCCCCTCCCCCCACACTTCGAAAGGCTGAAGGTGTGTGGGGGAGGGAGCCTGACCAATGCACAGGATCCACCAACACCGCAAAAGGTGCGTGTTCTTGGGAGGGCAAAAGGAAACCAACAGGAAACCGTCCTGTGGTCCATCGTTCTTGAGAAACACCCACCACACTTCCAGAGACTCCAGGTTTCATGGGGCTTGTAGTAAGGCCAGTGTAGACCTTGGGAACCATGTTGGTAGAGACGAAAGTCAATGGCATCGGCTCGCAGGTTGTTTTTGGTAACCCAGTGGAGCGATAATCAACACCCGGGTAGATGAAGGTTAGTAAGGGGCAGTCCCAGCCAGAATTTAAATGGTTCTGGGTTCACCATTTTTGTGCCAGGTGTTGATTGTGACTCATATTTTGGCTGTGGGTCAGAACCAATGGGATCCCATTTTGGTTGGGATTGGTGAATTCACCACCCATTTTGGTTGGTAGGTGAATTCACCACCCATTTTAGAACCTATTTTAATCGGATGTTCACTGGGGCTAACCGATTTGGATTTTGACCCATGGCCATTTCGTTGCGAGGTCACAGGTCTGCCGAAAGCACACCTTTTGGTGCTACGTGTGCGGCGGAGCCCTGAGACTTTGAAGAGTTCGGTCTTTTTGGAGTTGGTGCCGTGGGGAACAAAAGCCAAAAAAAACACTTGGAGGGGCCCCGTTTTGAGGTCCAAACCCCTTTTTTGGTGGGTTTTTTTGGGGTTCAGGACATGACGCATTTATTTGGGGTTCAGGACATGACGCAAACAGTTCTCGGCTCATGTTTGCTTCTCACCTTTGGTGCTAAGGACAACAACTGTCGAAAGAAGAGCACTATGCTCACTTTCCCAGGAGCGCACCTGCATTCATGTTGTTCATTGGCATCTTTGGACAGCGCTGAGTGATGACTAAGTCGCGCGCGGATGAAACGTGCATCCCTGGTGGATGGCCAAAATCCGCTTCGCACCGGCTGGGTAGTTTACCCTCAGTAGTTACAGGGTTTCATCCATCCCAACTGCAGGATTTTGCCCATCCACAGCAAGGAAACCATGACCGGAGCCGTTGGCTCCAAAGGGATGGGCCGTGGCCGAGTTGGCCGGAGGCAAGGTGCGCGTCAACATATCCCTGCCCCCCCCCAAAAAAAAACAAAACAAGTGTTTTAGTTCCTTTGGTTTTCCTTAAAACCCAGAGCAAGATGGGAATTCATTCTTTCCCTTGATTTTCCCATGCCCAAGAATCCCCCCCCCCCCCCCCCCCCCCCCCCGCCCAACGAACCCGTCGATCGCATCAATGGCAGGTGAGCCATGCCCTGCGCCCAAAACAGCAATGTGCCTGGCCCTCGATGGCGAGTCGAAGCAGATTTTTGGGCTATGGCCACGGCAACCTTTTGGGTGCTCTTGGACCCGTGGGTCAGCACCAATGGGATCCCATTTTAGAACCGATTTTAGTGGTTGGATTGGTTGATGTTCACTGAGGGTACGATTTGGGTTTTGACCCATGGCCAAATGGGTGTGTGCGCGTGTGTGTGTGTGTGTGCGCATGTGCGTGTGTCATTCTTTGAAGGGTACCCTTCTTTGGATGGGGCAAGAAGGAAATGAAAAGGAAACCGTCCATTCTGTGGGTCCCCCATTTTGAGACAGACCCAGATCCATTTTTGCGTAGAAGAAACCCATCTCTGCCGGCCGTATGCGCCACACGTCTTCTTGGTTTTTGGCCAAGGATAGCCTCCGGCATCGCCTTCACCATGAGCGGCACGGATGCACTTGGTGGTGCTTTCAATCTGGTCCGTGTCAGGTTCCATTTGGGTATGGCTCAAAAACCGGTACCAAAATATACCAAAATGGAACCCTGGTAAGTGGAAACATGGACCAACACCTGCGCAACCCTAGCTCTTTAATTTTGAGCCACGGCCATTTGGGTGTGCTGAAGCCAATGGAACACTACCCTTTTCGAGGTCCCCTGAACAAAACCACACGTCCACTGTAAAGCAACTCTCAAAATGGGTAGCCTCAAAACGAGGATGCCCAGCTTGACCCGGTTTGATCATTCGGATGACCGGATTCCTGATCGGAACCCGTCCATTCGAATCCACCAGAGGTTTGGTGGCCTTGATCATGGGCATCTCGGCCATGTGGAAGGTAGAGGAGGCCGAAATATCTTGGCCATGGGTTGCACCTATGGCGATCCCATGGAGTGGACGGACATCCACTTGCTCCAGCGATTTTGACGTTCTCACCACCGGGTTTTGGCCCACAGCCCGGTTTCGACGATGTGGGTTTTGTCTCAAAATGGAGACCAACATGGGGTGGGCAAAAGACAAGCTGAGCGTCGCCCCACCACCCATCGGAATGGCCGTTCCCTAAACCATCCACAGCCTCAAAGGACGAGCAAAAGACCCGTGTGGCAAAAAACATCCGCGGCCACCTTCCTGACTTGATTGAACCCCCCCCCCCGACCGAAAAAGCAAATGAAGACATGAGCCACAATCCAAACCCGGGTAGATGAAGGTTAGTCTTAATTCCTTACATGGTTCTGGGTTCGCCATTTTTGTACCAGGTTTTGATTGTGACTCACATGGTGGTTGTCCTGTTGGCGTGTCTTCAATCCACAAAGAAGGGGTGCTCTGCCAAAAAAGCGACAGACCCACACGAGCCACTCACTCAAAACCGATTCGGGGATGAAGGTTAGTAAGGGACAATCCCAGTTGGTCCAACCTTAAAACGCGCACAGGTGGATAACCTAGGAAAAAGTGTTTTACCTGCCTGTTTTGGTTGCGTATGTTCCAATTCGATTTCCCCGCCACACGTTGCCTGGGCTTCTTGGCAGGCGTTCAGATCTATGGGATCGGGCTCTGAACTCCGAGGCAGTGGAGTTCGCACTGCCAGAGGCTTAGATCCAAAGACTCCGAAAAATCCGAAGCCCAGGGTTTGCGGCGGATCACTCCGGTGTTTTTCCAACCACTCGGATACTTTTGGGAATCTCCCCCCTGAAAAAAGGGGGGGGGTTCGTCGCTTCGTCTTTGGATTTGGCCCTTTTTGGTGTCACACCACGCCGAAACCCCAAAAGAACCGTGAGTGAGTGCATGGATCCACCTCCGGGAGCTTCGATATTGCTTGCGAATAGGTGGTTCTTCCAAGCCTGGCCACAAGGGCTCCATTGAGGCCTAGACCTTTACCATGGCAGAACCTTAAACGCCAGCCCAAAACCAAGCTTTGGACACGAAGTTTATCAAGAAACTCGCCATTTCATTCGTTTTCTGGAGAATTCACCTGTACAATTGGCCCCTTTGCAACATCTTTCGGGGGAACTCACGAGTTCCAACTGGCCGTGAGGTCGTGCACCTGACGATCAGCATGATTCTGAACTTGGTGTCATTCTGCAGTATTGGTGCCTGCCTCAGGTCTTGGATTGAATTTGCACCCCGACATGGGTGGTGGTGCCCATGTATTGTGGTTTTCCAGTAAAACCACAATACATGAGCACCAGTTCAAAAAAGGACACACCCACTTCGCTGCGCCTCCCTTTCTTCCCCTTGCCCTCCAAGACGCAAATGCACGACGTGAGCAGAAGCCCTTCTATAGCCGTCCGTGACAAGGTAAACAGTTGTCCTGTCTTTTGTTTCTTTTTTTCTTTATTTATTTTCTTTTATTTATTTTCTTTATGTGTTTTCTTTCTTTTTGTTCTTTATTTTATTTAACGTTCTCATTCTTTTTATTTTTTTGTTTTGTGTTTGTCTTTCCGTTTTCCTTTTGTGTTTCTGTTGTTTTTCTTTTTAATTTTATGTTGTTTTTATGTCAATGTGTTTATATTCCATTGTGTTCTGTCTTTCTTTTTTGTTGTTCTTCCGTTTTTAGTTTGTTCTTATTTTATTTATCCGGCTTGTTTATGTCTTTGTTTCTAGTATTCTTTCTTTATTTATTTATTTATTGCTTTCTTTTGTTCTTTCTTCATTTGTCCTTTTTTCTTCCTTTAGTTCTTCTTGTTTTTCTTTTTGTTGTTCTTTCTTTTTTTATTGTGCTATTTATTTAATTTTGCTGAATTTTGTTTCTTTGTGTTGTGTTTGTTTTTCTATATATCTTTCTTTCTTTCTTTCTTTCTTTCTTACTTTTGTTCCCTATATTTCTGCATTTATTTATGTATTTATTTATTTCTTCATTGATGTCTTTTGCGTTTCTGTCTTTTGATGTTGTTTTTGATTTCATTCTTCTTATGTCTTTGTTATGTGTCTTTTTGTGCTATATCTTTCTCTGGAAGGCCTCACAGTGCGATTTCCCACAGGTGTCGGATTTGCTGCGAGGAGACAACATAACATGGTCCGACCTTGCAGTCAACTGATTTGAGCCACTTGCTCAAAACCGATTCGGGTAAGTGAAGAATTCGCCGCGGCCGACTTTGTAGTTCTTTAAATTTATTTGGATACACCATTTCAATACCAGGTTTTGACTAGGACTCATTTCAAAACTGGATTTTGACCTATGACATTCGCATGCTCATATGCATGACACTGCAGATGCCCTCAATTACCGGGCCGTGCTTGCGACATGTTAGCCATGAAGCGGCATATCCATCTATCTATCTATCTGTCTGTTTGTTTGTTTGTCTGTCCATCGATCCATCCATCCATCCATCCTTCCATCCATCCATGCATGCATCCATCCATCCATCCTTCCATCCATCCATCCATCCATCCATCCATCCATCCATCCATCCATCCATCCATCCATCCATCCATCCATCCATCCATCCGTTCCTCCGTCCGTCCCATCCCGTCCCGTCCTGTCCCGTCCCGTCCCGTCCCATCCCGTCCCGTCCCGCCCCACCCATCCTATCCCACCCTTCCATCCATTTATATGTATCGTTGCGTTCGCCCCTGAACGTGTAAGGTGCGGGATAGGCCTCAACGCCGTCAAGAGGCTGTGCGATTGATTGATTTGTGCGAACAGGAAGCATATAGTTCGTGTGCCATGACACCCGAAGTTCTCCGTTTGCGGAATGTATGAATCCATCCCGGGCACCGGCATAGATTCATAGATGTGGACGACATGTCCAGCTCTCCAGACAACTGACAGCGCCACCAACTGAAATCTGTGGAATCTGTGGGGGGGAAGGACGCAAAGGCAGCAATGCACAAAAATGCTGGGAAGCAGTATGCCACGCTATTGTGCATGCCGTAGTCAAGATGTGAGGATACTGTATATCCCAATTGTGACAGGGGAGCGACATCAGAAAGCTGCATGAGCTGAGGCTTGTCAACTTTTCACTTCGAGCAAGCGATGAAATTCAGATGGGCACACACCATGTCTTCTTCGACCGCCTTCTGCACTTTGCGCATCACGGCTTCTTTGACCTTTCTTGTGCGCCTCGTTCATGTTCAGTTGGTAAAATTTGCCTGGTTCTTCGTGTTATTCTTGCCAGGTACAGTTGCTATGCTCGTCCTTCATCATGGTCGGCATGACCTCCGTGTTGTCCTTGGACTTGATCTGCCACATGGCCTGCGCCTGAGCGGTTCGATCAATTGCTTCCTCTTGTCAGGAATCAATGGAGCGCCCCGTAACAAGTCTCCAAAAGAAAAGCCCCCCTGTGTTTTACTCGTAGCAGGCGGTGCGGTTTCTGCCTGGCTTCATAAAGGTTCTAGGTACGGGCTTTTTTGACTTTGCATGGTGCCAAAGGTCAATTGAGCCACTTGCTCAAAACCCGGGTAGATGAAGGTTAGTAAGGGGCGATCCCAACCATAAATAGCTGCGGCCGCCTTCTTAATCCTGTACATGGTTCTGGGTAGACCATTTTAGTACCAGGTTTTGATTCTGACTCAATTGAGCCACTTGCTCAAAACCGATTCGGGTAGATGAAGC